CAGCTCTTTCTTTGAACGAAATTCCCCCCTTACAATTAATGTGCTAAGTAAGTACTCTTAGTTTTAAATGAATTTTATTGCATTTTTATGTAAATTATATCGAGTGGCTTGCCTATTGATTCATTCGGGATGGAGTTTTATAAAGATGGGTATAAATCTAAAAGCAATTAAAACACTTTTTCGTATTTTAAATAATATCCCGCATCAGCAAACCGGAGAAGCAAAGTGATTTTTAATTTGTTTACTATAATATTTCCAAGAATACGGAGAATTTGTATCGATTTCCTGGCGGTTGCAGACGTTTACGAAACGGTATTTTTTAAATTTATTTAGAGGCAAACACCCTGTAAACATATGAAAGACGAAAATGTCTATGCCTCGTAGTAATTGGAAAGAAGAAAAAAAACTTTAATCTTATAATTTTAAAAATTACAATTTGTATGCATTTTTGAGTACGTTTGATGCGGACTTTTATTACAGTACAACACCAAAAATATATGTTCAAGTTGACGATAAACCTTTGTGATAAGGCTTCTTAAACTATTTAATATTGTTTAGCATCTGGGATTATCATAGCCCATATATTATACAGTCATAAGTTATTGGTAGAAAGCTCCAGTATTCAAAAGTCAGTTTACCAGTTTTACTATAGGCTACCTAAAAGAAGTCAGGAGAACTAAATTCAGTTTTGCTTTGGGTAGAGTTTTGAATTTCACATCCAAAGCCGCGCTAGATATACATATATTATCTTCGTCAAACAGGAATTTTTGTCCTTCTGTACTGTATCTAGATCATTACCTTATTTACCTACACTAGTTACAACGTATAGCTCAATAAATAAATGATAGTAATTATAGTACACAGATGGCGTTCCATCTCACTGCTCTCTCCCCATAGTGGCGCGCCATAGTCTCCTACCACCGCCTGTCTGCCCATTCATGAAGACTTTTCACTCTACTCAATGAATCTAGGATTGTAGAGAAATCGTTGACCAAGTCTGTCACAATCGCCATTGTGGATTTCCTCATCGGGTGAATCAACTATCTGCTACAATTAGAAAGCTGCGAACAAACTTGCTAGGAAAGAGCGGTTCGACAAATTGAGAAATGTCTGGAATACAGAGTTGTTTAATGTAATGTAGAGAATAGCAGAAGTATTGACTACAATGTGTTTTAATCGTCTGGTCAATTTTTATGTGGTAAACATTTTTATGTGGTGTAAATTTAAATGCTGGGAGGTAATTTAGTAAAGAACTAATACAAACCTTTATGATTATACTTCATGTAGATAGAACCCTATAATCAAATTCAAAAGACATCGCCAACTTAGCTGTCAACGCTAAAGTGTACTTTTGAATAAGCCAATTACTATTTGACTGAAAGAGCAACATGGTTTATAGTCTGGTTTAAATATAGTTCATGGCATTACTGTAATAGAATGCAACTTATGATTGCGTTTCTGTGTTATTGCCATATCTCAAATTTACGGATAGTCTTATTTTCTGTATTAGGTCCGATAAATACATAGAAAATACATAGACCAGACCACTTTATACTAGAAACAATAAATATAAAACAGAAACCCCTGTAGATTGCACAATTCATCCTAGCTCTTCTAACAAAAGTTTGGCTACAAATTAACATTGGCATGGTAGGTATAACTACTTTTTAGTAATCAATAGTCAACGGTAACTATGTGCTATGCAATACGTGTCATAACGTATAGTATCACCATTGACTAATGACTAAACACAGAACAGACCCATGCAATGTATAAATGTGAAGCCAAGAATATAGACGAAGTTTCAGGCCCATCTCATAAGAGGGTACTAGTGTATTGGGTTAAATATTAATTAAAATCAAAGCAGTATCATAGCAAACAGCTGATTTATTTATCACCCAAAAATTAATGTTATAATTGAATAAACTGTTATCAACAATAAGGATTACATCTTCCAAAATGTATTTAACAGGCTTCTTACTGTAAAATCATATCACACTCACTGTAAATGTGTCATATCCAACATTAATAAACAAGCGTGTCCTAAATAAGAAAATGAATACCATACAATACTAGACTACAGCTATAGTCCAGTTAAAACACACGAACAACAATTTATCATCGGCCATGGCATCATAGGATATTGAAAACCAAACTAAAGGAAGAAACTATAAACCGTGTTGCATTTCAATGGTTCTAAGCGAATATTTTTATTGTTGCTCTTGTTTCATGTTTTACCTGAAAAACGAATAAGAAATATCGTGTCCCAAATAACCAAATTGCAACAGTACATATAGATCTATTGTCCAGTTCAAAGTTGATGTAGATTTTTCATAAAATGTGTTTCATAGCGTCATAGGAAATTTGCAAACTCTGTCAAATCACAGAGGGAACTGTGAGCTATATAAGACTCAAACCATTGAGTAAAACTATATCATCATCCTAAAAATGTGTCCGACTAGGTCTTTATTCGAATAGATCCGCTAATTTTGCGCCGATATGCTTTATGTTGGTTTATTTGATTCATTGAAAATAAATAAATATTATGAAGTGTACTAACCACGTCTAATCTGTCTCATTTATTATTTGCTCGGCAAATTACTTAACTGTCATACTGGTAAATAACAAAACCGACATTGACTACAATGTTTTGCTCGGAAAACGTGTTGAATATAATTTTAAATTTAATTAATTAAAACGAGAAACCACTTGACTGTCAAGCTATTTTACTGTCTAGAAACTTTTGTAACCACGCAGAGAACGTTCCACAACAAACGATCCGTGTCCCATGTAGGCCCAGTAACATTTCGGCCAAACTCAAATTTCTTAGAAAAACAGTATCACTTCGTCCCACTCGCTTTTACAGATGATTAAATAAGCTAATGGAGTAACATTTCGGCCCGACGAAAAATTGACAAGGGTCGAGGAACGCAGTTCAGGTAGTAAGAGGTACATGACCTGTATACTTTGCAACCACCCTATGGTGGAATGTCGCCCAATCGTCATGGAGTTACTAACCTAACCTAACCTAACCTTACCTAAATCCTCCCAAATAGTTAGTGAAGACCTGTCAAATATTTTGTTGGGACGAAGTGTTACTAGTGGGCAGGTAGAGAGTTGGACCGCAGGCCACATCTGAGGATTTGGGGCCGAAATGTTACTGGGCCGAAGTGTTACTTGGGCCGAAGTGTTACGACACGTAGAAAAACGAATAGTCCCATTTTATCATCTAATTAAATCATGCTTTTTCAATTCAGTGTCCGGCCGTTTTGCAATAAAGCACATCAGGTCCAGTTGTCTTCTCTTTGTTGCAGGGGTCACTCTTGTCTATCATTAGTCATGGCTGGGGTTGGCCAAACTGCTCTGGTTTTGCAACACCCTCTCCTGGACGTGCAACCCCCTCGCCAGGGGTTGATAGACAACTGACGACTGAGACTGAGGAGGGAATCCGTTGAATGGACGCCGCATTCTGAGGCACAAAGGAAGTGTATGACACAGGTTTGAGTGAAATAGACTTATAACAAAAGTTTTAAGTCTGCAACTCTAGTCAGAATTTCTTTTTAAAAGATTCTAGATCAACTTTTGAGTCTAGTGGGTCCAATTGTAATCACCATTTTTCGTAGTTTTATAATGTTTAAATGTGTTTAAGAAACAAAACTACATACTGCAACATGGCAACATGTGAATGCCTACATCCATTGACTATACACAGAATAGACTCCCCATGTGATGTAAAAATTCAAAGCAAACAATCGTGGTGCAATCTGTTGAGATGGTCACCAACTAATGACGATATTCTGTGATAAATCAATCAGCTGTTTGCTATGATACTGTATTGGTTTTAATTAATACTAGAGGTCGTCCAGTCGTCGAAAACTCGACCAAAAATATCTAATGTACAGACTCCTCTATTTTAACATCACACTGTAAATAAAATATGTGATTGAAATTTCTTAAATTTGTTTAGATTTTCTGTTTATATTTCGTTGTTATTTCGTCACCAGCATGGCAACCCATAAGGCCCATGTTAATTTTTTTTAAATTTTATATTGATTTTTTGCTTATTTTTTAGACTATTTTAATCTATAAAGGTATTCTGCACATCTACAGGAACATATCGTTCTAACAGTATGTATAGATTTTCCCTACAACGCATACGAGCTGAGAAAAAAGGATTTTAAAGAACAATGCTCATAGATTCAACCACAGACTGAAATTACTGGTACTGATTACTGGTATTACTTTGTCTATGATTCAACCCAATACACTAGCAATCTCTGGTCCTGAACTTCATCTATTTTCTTGGCTTCAAACTTTCATATCACATGGGTAGTCTTTTCTGTGTATAGTAAATGCTACATCACACTCTATAATTGAAAACCACTTGTTATTAAATACATTTAATTTTCTAGTTTAAAAAATCTGACATGAAGCATATCAACATTTTCCCTGTGAACCTTACTTGCTGAGCTAACGAATTGTGAAAGTACTAATTCAAGTATTACAAAATTCAGTTTTTAAAAATGCTCGTTTTTGGTGTGTGTATTTACTGTATGATTTTAAACAGCTATCAATAATTTAAAACAATTTAGGGTAAATATTTTGTTTACATAACCAACATAGTTTAGCTTTAGCTTAAACTAATCTTGACCGTGTTAATTTGCTTGTAATTATTATAAAAACCGCTATTTACGTTTTAGGCTACCAAAGTAATTTTTAAGGAACGCCGGCGTCTCCAAAGGATTTTTTCTAATAAAATTCCTCTACTCATTCCACAATGTCCTTGATGCAAAAGAAGCCACCATTTGGGTCAATAACCCGTGTCCGAGCTTTCGGTAAAAACTCGGGTATGTAGGCTCTTTATTGTGACAATGTCGCTTCAACAATAAACATGCTACAGTGGCGAGGGGAGAGGGGAACAGCTGTGTAGGGGGGAGGGGGCGATCAGCTGTTTTGATTGTTGTGCGGCCGCCGCCAGTAGTTCGCGCGCTGTGTGCCTGTCCAGTCATGTCGCGTTGAGGTTATGTCGGTAGTGATGTGCAGCAAGCCTAGAGTGATCGCTGCGGAAATCAAAAAGGACTTTTGTAAGGATGTGATTCGAACAAATGGAACTAAGCCACACATCGCTGGTAAGTAGCTGAATTAATTTATTCCAATTAGTAATTTAATTAAGGACCAGATACAAAATTGCCTGTATATTTTAAGCTATTGAAGCATTGGATGTCTATTGTTGTATAGGTACTAAAGTATTTCAAGCGCTCTCCATTTAATATGTTCTTCGCGATCAAAACAGCATAAGATTACTGCCTTCTATTGCTAAAGAAAAGTACTTCATGACATCTCAACAATACTACAATAATATCCAGCTTTATGGGGAATATCCAAGCGTGCCGTTGTTATCATTTATAGTCCGTAATGTAATTCAATCAAGGAAGAAGCTTTATAAGCAAAAATAAGGGGTACAGTTTCTTAACTGGGCTACGCTAATATCGATTGAAACTATCGATTCGATTAGTAAACTTTTCATGCGATTTTTTCACCATCTATAAGTTTGGTTGGTTAGGTTAGGTTATGATAGATTAATTTTATAATGGATATATTTTAAAATATCGATTATTAATCAATATTTCAATTCGATAGTTCCAATCGATATTAGCGTAGCCCAGTTAAGAAACTGTACTCAAAATAAGAAATCACCAAAAGATAATTTATCACGAGCATGTGACATACATAGTAAGTTATCTATGCAATTACCGTACTTTGTTTAATTGCACCATAATATTTAAGATATATTAGTAAGATACATGGTACAAATCGGACCTATGAGTAGAACTACTGTTGTACCTATTCTAGTCAGGTCTTGTGTCGCTCTCCCGTATTGTTGTTGTTGTTGTTTGAGATTTAACCCACCTATTCTCAAGGTTACCAAAACCATCTTGTTTGACAACAATGATGTTGATGTAAAAAGGAATCGTTGACGGTTCTCTTCTCGTTGCCGCTTGTTGAATCATGATTCTTAACAGGCAGAAGGGAAATTAAGTAGGCCTAGTTTAAAAATGTGAGTAATCTGGGTACCTAATTTTAATTCCGAACATTCTTTGCTCGGGTTGTATCGCATAGTTTACTCGTGGACAATATTGATTGATTAAGCGTTTGATAATATACAAATATAAAATATTTATATAGCCTAGACGGACAGTCAGAACAAAACCGCCATTGTAAGGGTTACTGAAATTTGAGTACAAGTATACCTAAATAGAAAATGAAAAGGAGGATTGATTTATCAAGTGATAATCAGACTACAACAGGTTTTGTTTTCAGAATAGTTTTCGTCTTAATATTATCCCTTATTACGAAATCTACGATAAATATTACAAAAATACATTAAACAACTTACAAGATAAATAACATATACTGTATAGTGTATAAGCTATACTTTTAATAGAAAATATAAATATTACATGTTGAAATTCCAGAACGGTCAAGAAATGTTATGCTTGTAAAATGTTTAGGATTTATTTGCTTATGTTTTTCGATACGTGTAGTAGCAGTTGCGCCGAGTAGCATTTGCGCCGCGGATTAAATCGTGCTTCCAGCGCCGCGGAGTTTGATTAGTCCTCAATAATCCTATTAGTGCAGTTGATTTGTTCCGCCATTGTTAACCTGTCAAAACTGCTAACCCTCATTTAATTAGCTGGCGCGGCGCTGGTGCTACGCGGCGCAAATACTACTCGGCGCAAATACTACTCAACCGTATAGGTTTCGATTTCTTTTAGTTATCGAAAAGGTTGAGATAATTAGAAATAATTTGTGGCGCAGATAACGAGAGAGACCTCTATGCACAAGTCTCTTTATTCTGAGCTTAAACTAGCATATGAAGTAACTAGCCCACGTTTGTGCCCGCCTACCTTATACAGTATCTGACATTTCTAGTCGTGTGTACCTGATGCAGAATGTTTATTAGGCTAATGGCTAATGTAGTTCATGAGACAACGAAGCATTCACGTCTACTCGTGAGCAGTACAGCCTTGGTCGCTCCGATACGTAACTCATGTTAACATTACCATTACCTCGCCACGCCTACCTTTTAGTCGATTGTTTCAATAAATTACAGACATTCGGGCTGATGACCTGCGTTTTTTACCTTGAACTATCAAATATATTGTGAGAGTTTACGCTGTCAAAAACAGTGGAATGGAGTTGGGCAAATTGACAATGAGTTATGTATGAAGTTACTGGGGTATTGTGTTTAATTTATTGTAATTTAGGATTTGTTTCCATTAGAACTACATATTTGTATTTTTAATGAATAGCTTTTGCAGCTCAGTCTATGATTTGAATCACGTTGTTTACCATTTTGGGTACATAACTTTGTAGTAGAAATAATGATAATAGGGTAACTAAACATTCATTTATGAGGCTTAGTATATATTTTTGTATGGTAACCAGCTGCATCAACGAGAGCAATGCACTCTAAACTCTGCTTTGCATTTTAGTGCAGGTAGTTGTAATGTAAATAGCAACTATGCATCAAAGCAATATTAATTAGCTGGTTCAGCACAACGGGCAATGCGGTGTAGACAGGTAATCGGGCAGCGAACTTCCTATTGAAGTACATTACTTATATAGAAATACTTAAATTAGAGGTGCTAGTCCTATCATTTTTTTTTTTACTAATCCTTCAAAAAGAGTAAAAACTTTCATATTGTTCTACATAGTTGATTTTTTGGACCAACACGAGTTTGTTTTAACATTCTATAAATTAACAAGGACTTTTTTAGGTTTTGAAATGTTCATTACAAATTCTATAACTACGGTAACCCGGGTGGATTTTCTTTCGTGTCGTTGCTGCAGCTATAGGTTTCCTCTCTGCAGCAGTTTTTAGTTTCTCAACTCCACTGCCACCTGTTCAGTTTCCCCTGTGGCACGTCGACCATCCCCGTCTGATCCTACAAGGGTGTGGACTGGGAACATCACTTTCCCACTTTCCCAGATTGCCACACGGAAGCGACAGAAAGTGGTTCCATTCCGACGTTCCTGTTGCCATTTCCGGTGTTCCGATTTATCGAGTTGTATATAAGGTCGAGGTCGTTGCAACCAGTTTCTCTTTTTGTTTGTGGCTTCGATTTTAATTAGATAGTCAACATTTGATGATTTTAATCAGCGTAATAGGCGTGCACTTGTGTTATCAATAGTAATACAGTACAGCGTTGCGAATAGTAATATAGTTAGTGTTATGAACTGTATTTTTGTACCTGACCTTTTGCATTGTCGTCTACATCAAAACACACAGAATATCTGTTTATAATATAAGAGTTAGCGTAATAAGATCGTCGCTTTTCAAACGCTACGATCGTTTGTCAAGTTGTCATTCCCCCAAATTCAACATTTCAACCAAACAGAGAATATCTAGAGTATTTATTTTGTGGTTTATTTCACATACTGTATCAGGTAATATTTAATGAAAGTGCAACATACAAAAACCTTAACGTGTTTCCATTGTCCTTCACTAGTTTTAGTATTCGCTGAGTGATAAGCATGGTCATAGATAAGCACAGCCTGGAAACCATTAAGTTTGCTATTGGGCAGGAAATTGGTTGAACAATCGACCCTTATCGGACAATGACAAACTTAAATAATGGGCTGACTGCTAATTGCGTACTGAAAAATAGGCTTTTAACGTTTTAACGTCGTTGGCTTGATTGGCATTTTTTCCAACTATAAAATGCTCACTTTAAGGCTCTACACCAGGTTGATCAGGCAAACTTCTTTCTAATCAATGGTTATAATCAATTCTAATATGATATTATATTATTTTATTTTTATATTTCCCTTGGGCTACGCCCCATGGGCTTCCAAATTTTCAATTTTAATATTTTGGAGAAATGTAAATATATAAATTATTTAAGTCAGCCGTAAATACTTAAATTTGACAGTCTGTTCAAAGAGCAGAGGTTACAAGAGGTACAGGTTCTGCTCCTGAGAGATGTAAAGTTTATGGATTATGAGAGTAGTAGTAACAATATCTGATTACAGTTTAAAAGGGGTTGGTTGTGTATTAACAGGTTATTTAAAATAGAGTTAATATATTTTCACATTATTTAAGACTTTAAAGTAGAAAATAATGTATAAATAAAAAAAACTTTTTAAAATGCCACGTTTTTAAATGGACTAAAAAGTAGAAAATAATTTATAAATATGTGGAGAGAATAAGTACTTAGTAGGATTTAAAACGAAAAAGATGGGGCGCATGCAATTAGATAATAATAGTTCAATAGGTGAAGATAATAATTAAGTTTGCTATTGCATGCACCCCACGTTTTTTGTTTTAAATCTTACCAAGTATTTATTCGCTCCACATATTTTTATAAATTATTTTCTACTTTTTAGTACGTTTAAAAACGTGGCATTTAAAAAAATTTTCATTTACAAATTGTTTACGATTATTTTATGTGATTATATAACGATTTCTTGAATTTTAATTTTAATCATGTCTGCGAAATGAAAGCAATGCAAAACTTTACGAATCCTACATCGTTACATCTTAATTCTTCGCCATTTAGCAATATCCTAAACCTCTTGAGTCTTATCGCAGCGGCATCTTTCTGCTCCTCTCTGCTCAGCACATCTGCATACTGCATACGCTATTGACAAACCACATGGATAAGCTAATGTAGCATCCAGCATCATGCTACTACACAAGACAGTTCCTGGTATAGTCGTAAATGTAAAGAGGCTAGTAGGTCGACACACTTGAAATGTTCACTTGAAACAAGACGTTTGAAATTATGAGCTGTATTGAAACCTTATCTCTATAATGAAACGAAAAGAATACGCTGTAAGTTGTGTAAAATTAAAAAAAAAATATTTTTCCTGGTTTCAATGCAAGTCATTTCAATAAGAATGTCTTGTACTTTACTTATATTTTACCCTCTAAATTGAGGGAACCAATTACGTATCATTATTATTTTATAACTCTCCTGGGGTAGATCTTCAGGAATCCCCAACATTTCTTAAGAGTGAGATGTAATTATTAACATCTCTTAACCAATTTAGCTGAGCTAAATAACTAGGCCCTACATACAGTTCAAAACGTGATGGACGAGTTTTATGAACGATTTAACAGGTA